TACACCACCGCGCTGGCCGGCTGCACCAGCCCCACGGCCACCTCCTGCACGGCGCCAAAGCCCACGCACTCCCGCGAGGTGGGCACCTGGCACCGGGAGGGCAGGGAGGTCAAGGCCCGAGGGCTGCCGGCTGCTGCTGATCATCTCCGGTGGCCTTCACGTTCTGGCCCACGCCTGCCCCCGAGCTCTCGGGAAGCTCCCCAAGGCCCTCGGTGGCGTCACTGCCCAGTGGGTGACCTCGCCTCGGCCTTGCCGCCCCAGGGCCCGCAGGGGGACCGGGTCCTGCTCCTTCCCCACGCCCTTCCCCCTGCGCCCCCGCCTCACCCAGGCTGCGCTCGGCCTCAGCTCACAGGCCCTCAAATGTCCCGACGGCCTTGTCCTTGTCGCCGACACAACGGGCGCCTGTGTCGTCCGCCACAGCCTGGGGGGTCTGCCCCGCTCCGCCCCCAGGCCACCCTCCTGGCCCAGCCTTACTATGTCACAAGCTCACAAGAAACCTCCTCACACAGAGCCCTAACCCCGGGCCACCGACGCCCTTCCCGGGCCCGCCCCACTCACCGAGTCGAAGTAGAGCAGGACGTGCGGCCCTTCGGTCTCAAAGTGACTCACGTAGCGGTCGGAGAGGGAGGTAAGCTGTGCGAGGGGGAGAGGCGGCGGGTCACCTGGGCCGCGCCTGAGAGCCTGCGGGGACCCCGGGCCAGAGGGGAGGAGCTGCCCTGGACAGCCCACTGCACCTTCTCCAGGTCGGAGTGCAGGGCGCGGAACCCGCTCAGGAGGGTGACGTCTGCGATGGCCATGCCGAACAGCCCCACCTTGCCTTCCCGCCTGTGGAGAGACGAGAGCAGCTGTCCGCCCTGCTCCCAGAGCCTCGCCGGACGCTGCCCGGGCGCGGCACGCACCAGATGCAGACGGTGTAATGCACTTTGGATTCCTGCTCCTCGGCCACCTTGGGGGCCTCCCTCCTGCGGCGGTTCCTCCGTCCCTCGAACAGCTGCAGGGGCGTCACAGGCCGCGCGTGGGCACCTGGGTCATCCCCGGCCGGAAACTCGTCATACTCATAGTCCTCTTCGTAGTCCGCATTTGCCTGCCCTGCACAGGCAGCAGCGATGTGACGGGGGGCAGGGAGGCCACCCCAGCCCCGCAGGACCAAGGGCTCCCGATCCCAGCACTCACTCGTGTACTCCACGTAGCCCATGACTGTCACCGTGATCCGAAGGTCCTGGCAGGTCGTGTTGTCCATGTTCAGGACGTGGTAGGCCCGGAGCACCTGGCCCGGCAAGGGGCAGGGGAAGTGTAGAGCGCATCTGGGGCCCAGAGCCCGGCTACTGGCTCCGTCCACCCCGGAACAGGCCAAGCATGTGGTAGGCACCGGAAGTGTGATGGGGCGAGGGAGCAAGGCCAGCCCTGACAGGTGCATAGAGGAGACCAGCACCGGCATCTGGCCGAGGCTTGAAGGAGCAGAACGAGCTTGGCCCATGGGCCGGCAGGCAGGGAGGACGTGCTGAGGCTCTGAGCGAGCAGGAGGCAGCGGGCCTGACCTCCTCCCAGGCCTGACCTCCTCCCAGGCCTG